CAAATATTCCACAAAGAAAATCCTAGGCCCTGATGGCTTCATCGGTGAATTCTACCAAACGTTTAAAGAATAATGAATACCAATCCTTCATTAAGCTCTTCCAAAAAGTAGAAGAGGAGTCAATACTTCCCAACTCATTCTCAAAGGCCAGTATTATTCTGATACCAAACCAAAGGCACTACAAAAAAATAAAACCACAAGATCTCTTATGAATATAGATGTAAAACCCCTCAACAAAATACTAGCAAATGGAATCCAGGAATATATAAAAAGATTTATACATCATGACCAAGGGGGATTTATCCCAGGAATACAAGGCTGGTTCAACATATGAAAATCAATCAATGTAACACATCATATTAATAGAATAAAGGGGAAAATGCACAATCATCTCAACAGATGCAGAAAGAATATTTAACAAAATACACTACTATTTCATGATAAAAACATTCAACAAACAAGAAGGAAACTTCGTCAACCTATAAAGGGCATCTACAGAGAAACCCACAGCCAATATCAAACTTAATGGTTATAGACTGGAAGCCTTCCCCCATGGAAATCTGCTATAGAAAATATTTAGGAATAAGTCTAACAAAAGGAGTGCTTGTATATTCTAAACTACAAAACACTGTTGAAAAAAATTAAAGAGGCCCTAAATAAATGGAAAGACATCCCACGTTTATAAATCAGAAGACAATATTGTTAAGATGGTAATACTCCCTAAATTGATCTACAGATTCAATCTAATCTCTATCAAAATTTTCCCTGCTAGTTTTTTTTTTTTTTCCAGAAATTGACAAGGTGATTTTAAAATTTATATGGAAATGCAAGGGACTCAAAATAGCCAAAACAGAGGCACCTGAGTGGCTCAGTTGGTAGAGCGTCTGACTCTTGTTTTCAGCACAAGTCATGATGTTGGGATCCTGGGATGGAGCCCCGCATTGGGCTTCCTGCCCGGCAGGGAGTCTGCTTGTCTCCCTCTCCCTCTGCCCCTCCTCCCGCTCATGCTCACTCACTCGTTCTCTCTAAAATAAATAAAACTTTTTTAAAGTTTTTTTTTAAAGATTTTATTTATTTATTTGACAGAGAGAGGCAGAGAGCCACAAGCAGGGGAATGGCAGAGGCAGAGGGAGAAGCAGGCCCCCCGCGGAGCAGGGAGCCCGATGCGGGACTCGATCCCAGGACCCTGGGATCGTGACCTGAGCCGAAGGCAGACGCTTAGCCGACTGAGCCACCAGGTGCCCCAAATAAATACATCTTAAAAAAAAAAAAAGAATAGCGAAAACCATCTTGAAAATGAAGAACAGAGCTGGAGAACACACGCTTCCCAATTTCAAAACTTACTACAAAGCTATGGTCATCAAGGCAGTATGCTACTGGCATAAAGACATATAAATTAATAAAATACATCTGAGAATCCAGAAATAAATCCTCACATTTATGGTGAGCAGATTTTTTTAAACAAGGTGCCAAGACCATTCAAAGAGTAAGAATACCTTTTTAACAAATGATGCTGGATCAACTGGATTATCTACATGCAAAAGAATGAAGGTACACTCCAACCTCACACCATAAACAAAAATTAACTCAAAATGGACTAGGGCCAAAATGTAAGGACTAAAACTATAAGACTCTTAAAAGAAGTCAAAGGTATAAATATCTGTGCCCTTGGGTTAGGCAATTGTTTCTTAGATATGACATCAAAAGTACAACCACCAACAATAAAATTGATAAATTGGACATCACTAAACAAAAACTTTTGTGCTTCAAAAGGCACCATCCAGGAAGTGAAGACAACCCACAAAATGGGAGAAAATTTTTACAAATCATATCTTTGAAAACAGACTTGTACTTAGGATATATGAAAAACTTGTACAACTTAATAACAAAAAGATGAATAACCCTATTAAAAACTGACAAAAGAGGGGCTCCTGGTTGGCTCAGTCAGTTAAGTGTCTGCCTTCAGCTTAGGTCATGATCTCAGGGTCGGGGATGGAGCCCCACATCAGGTCTCCCAGCTTAGCGGGGAGTCTGCTTCTCCCTCTCCCTCTGCCTCTCCCCCTGCTTATGTGCTCTCTCTCTCTCTTTAATGAATAAATAAAATCTTTCAAAAAATTGACAAAAGAAAAAAATATTGACAAAAGATCTGAATTAACATTTCTCCAAAGAAGATATACAAATGGCCAATGAGCACACAAAAAGGTGCACAACATCATTAGTCATTAGAAAATGTAAATCAAAACCACCATGAGATACTACTTCTCACTCAGTAGGAAGATTATAATCAAAATGACAAACAATAACAAGTATTGCAAAGGATGTGGAGAAATTAGAATTCTCATCCCTTGCTTATGGAAATGTAAAATGGTGTGGCTGCTCTGGAAAACAGCTGGCGGTTCTTCAAAAGGCTAAACACTGAGTTACCATATGCCAAGAAATTCCATCTCTATATATAAACTCAAAAGAATTGAAAACATGTTCATACAAAAATTTATGCATGAATGTTCATGGCACCATTATTCTTATATAATAGCCAAAAAGTGGGAACCACCCATATATCCATCAACTGATAAATGGACAAACAAAATGTAGTATATCTATGCAATGGAATATTATGAAGCCATAAGAAAGAATGCAGTACTCATTCATGCTATAATATGAAAGAATCCTGAAAACATGCTAAATTGGGGTGCCTGGGGGCTTAGTCGTTAAGCGTCTGCCTTCCACTCAGGTCATGATCCCGGCGTCCTGGAATCGAGCCCCGCAACAGGCTCTCTGCTCAGCGGGAAGCCTGCTTCTCCCTCTCCCACTCCTCCCGCTTGTGTTCCCTCTCTCGCTGTCTCTCTCTCTGTCAAATAAATAAAATCTTAAAAAAAAAAAAAGGAAACATGCTAAATGAAAGAAGCTAGGTGCAAAGGCCACATATGATATGATTCCATTTATATGAAACATACAGAATAGGCAAATCCAGAGAGACATACAGTGGTTTCCAGGAATTGGGGTGGGGGGAGGGAATGGGGAGTGACTGCTACTGGGTGTGCATTTCTTTTTGGGGAAATGAAAATATTCTGGAGTTGGACCATGGTACTGGCTGCAAAACTCTTACTTGTACACTTTTTTTTTTTTTTTAAGATTTTATTTATTTATTTGAGAGAGAGTGAGTGAGAGAGCATACAAGCTGGGGGAGAGGAAGAGGGAAAGAGAGAAGCAGGCTCTCTGCTGAGCAGGGAGCCGGATGTGGGGCTTGATCCCAGGACCCTGAGATCATGACCTGAGCTGAAGGCAGACGCTTAACCAACTGAGCCACCCAGGCGCCCCTTACTTGTACACTTTTAAAAGGGTGAATTTTACAGTATATAAATTGTACTTAATTATTAAAAAAAAAAAGAAAGAAATTCTGAAGTATGGGGAATTATATCTGTAAATTACTCCTAAATGGCTCAAAGAAAAAAAAATTCTTGCAAATTTTCTTTTTTTTTTAAAGATTTTATTTATTTATTTGAGAGAGAGAGGGAGAGAGAGTGCATGAGCTAGGGGGAGGGGCAGAGGGACAGGAAGAGACAGAATCCCAAGCAGACTGAGCGTGGAGCCTGACATGGGGCTCAATCCCATGACACTGAGATCAGACCGGAGCCAAAACCAAGAGTTGGGTGCTCAACCAACTGAGCCACCTAGGTGCCCCTTTTCTTGCAAATTTTCTATAAATTTAAATTATTTCAACTGAAAAAAGTGACACTGAATGACAATTATATGGATAACTTTTATTCTGCTCCATCTAAGTGCTTTTCTAAAAACCGAATCATTTATAGGGGCGTGTGGGTGGCACAGTCAGTTGAGTGTCAGACTCTTGGTTTTGGCTCAGGTCTGATCTCAGGGTTGTGGGATGGAGCCCCATGTCGGGGTCCATGCTCAGCTCTGGGTCCGACTGAGTTTCTCTCTTCCTCTTCCTCTGCCCCTCCTCCATGTGCTCTCTCTCTCTCTGAACTAAAGAAATCTTTTTTAAAAGAGTACATCATTTGTAAACTTCAAATAATATTTCATGTGGAATTTAGTTCTGAAAAAAAATGAGTTCCTAACCTGTATCATCTCATATTCTTGCTCTTTTATAATAAAAAGACAGAACAGGGGATGCCTGGGTGGCTCAGTCAGTTAAGCGTCTGCCTTCAGCTCAGGTCATGATCCCGGAGTCCTGGGATCGAGTCCCGCATCGGGCTCCCTGCTCGGCAGGTGTCTGCTTTTCCCTCTGCCTGCTGTGCCTGCCACTCCCCCTGCTATGCTCTCTCTCTCTCCCTAACAAACAAACAAACAAATAAATAAATAAATAAATAAATAAATAAATAAATAAATAAATAAAATAAAAAAGACAGAATAGTATAAAAGTCAATAACGTGCTTTGGAGTCTAACAGAATATGCTATTTTCTAGCTTTATGCCTTTGGAGAAATTACTCAACCTCTAGAAGTCTGTTTCTCCATCTGTAAAACAGCAATAATTGATTGTTCTGTTCTGCATAGGCTAAGAAAGGACTTCCATTCTCCTATGCTTGTAATTAAAGTCTACCTCATTTAGTATACAGTCTGATGTTCTAGTTTCTAGGTTAGAAAACTCATTTATTCCTCAATCCCTACTAGTTATATTATTGCTTATCATTATTCTTCATGGTGGGTTTAGAGTAGAGATAAATTCTATTACTTACCAATAAAAGATCTAGTAGGGAAAGATATTATCCAAACTATCTGGAAGTTTAGAGACATCTCCATTGTTTATTGCCACAATTACAAGCTATGTCCCTACATACAGTAAGCAAACTAAGTCACTAAAGTGTCACTAAGTGTAGCCAATTCTAACCTAGTTTAATTATTTACAGACTTTACAGACGCTGTCAGAGAATGAGTAACAAATAAATTTTTCCTTTAATAAGACAAAAGCTATACTTGAGACCATTTATCTCTAAGGTGTGGAAGACAAAGGCACCAGGTTAGATGGAAACACTGTACTTACCAGCTGTTTGTTGTGCTGTGGCAGAGGGCACAGCTGGGCACCAGCTGGCACTCTGTATACTGGGGTTACTGACATGCTGGCAGGGTGGGCACACATAAAGCGTACCTGCACAGCCTCAACAGCTGGACTGGGGTTCAGGACACCCGGGTGATTTCCGATTCGGAATGTCAGAGCCTTTAAGGAAACAGCAGAGCAGACACCCGATGTCAGTTGTTCCAATCTACACATGTCAGAATTATTCAAACTCCAGTGTAGGATCCCTTTGGACACTATAATCACCATAGTTCTTAATCATGTGGCTAAGAGAAACAAGGGTATCATGGAAATTTATAAACAAAGGGAACATTAAAAAATCTAATTCTGATCAATTACTTCAGTCTTCTTCTCCACCAATCTTTTATTTACCAGTTGGTAAAAAGTGGAAAAACTATTTTGTGTTTCAACCTTTCTCTGGTGGAAGCACCAAATGAGTAACAGAATGTGGAGACAAAAGACAAGAGGGCTCCAGCAGGGGTGAGGACTCGGACACTGCTGACAGCCAGCCACACACACAACAAAGTTCACAAAGATGTCAGAAAGAAGCTCAGTTCTTATTAAATTAAAATCATACGTTGATTCCTTGTGGGCTGGTTACAGAGTCATACACTGAATTCTCAACCCTAGTCAAATTGCAAACCTTTGTTACTGGCTTGACAGAAGCAGGGCAGAGCTGTGGGTGGATCCTCTAAAATAATAAAACTAATTCAACTGATAAAGGGCAACACGCTTACCATCTTATCTGCACAGATCTAACTAGTTCTTCAAAATTGCTCACCACTCACAATTGCTAACCAATCAAAAGTGCTAATAGATGACGCTTCAACTTCCCCTTCCTTGCATTTTTTTGGAGGTGGGAAACCATATATCCTCTAGTCTAGACAACAAGCAAATGAATTATAGTGATAAAGTGATTGAAATAAGCTCATTACTACAAAATGATCTTGAACCATTTAGTAGACTGTACGAATTCTCAAACGAGTGAAATCTTTGAGTACATTTAAAGAATAGTAAAGTTAAAAAAACCATTAATAATTAGAATTTTCCTATGTTAACTAGAATTTAAGTAAAAATCTGGAAGAAAAGAAAGAATTTCCCTATCTAGTCTATAAATGAAATCCATTAGAATCTGAAAAGGAATGGCTAGAAGTACAAAAGATTTGGGGTATTACTACTAAAAGAAATGTTAGAAAAAGATCATTTTCCTACTTACTTGTTCCCCTAAATCCAGGCACAAGGCCCGGTAGATGTACTGGTTCTGTTTTCTTTTAGCTGGCAGCCGGACTTGTGTTAATTCAATTTTCTCTGTCTTCTCCATGCTCAACTCTAAAAAGAATCGGGAGGGCTCCAAGATCCATGGACGGGGGCCGCCTTCAAACACCATTTCCTTCACAGACTGCCATGTCACCAACGCCACCTCCACAGGGTTTACAGCCTGATGACATTCAAAGAAATGAATCCTTGATTGGTCAGGGAACTCAACAGTTCTCTAAAGTGAAAACTAGTTGATTGCTGAAAATGACATTAGACTTAATTCCCAAATCGGGAGACACGTACACGATGCCTCTCACTTGGATGCTTCTCAACCTCTGTATTCATTTAGATCCTATCTATCGTCCAGGCCTAACTTGTGTGTCACCTTGCCCATTAATATCTAATCATTCCATACCACAACCACTTCCACATCCTCTAAGTACTATTCATTCGTACACTAGTTCATCTCCTAATGCTGTTTGAATGTGTCAAATGCTTCACATAGAAGAGCATAATAATTCTTCTTATGCTTTCTAGTTACGTAAAATTATTCAGAGAAGAGAATATCTTCTACCTAAATTTTAAAAGAGGGTGTCTCTTCCTTAGTGGATTTAGTACAATGTTGGGCACATAAAAGGTACTGAACAAGTAGCTGTATAAGCATTTTATTTTTTTTTTTTTTTTAAGATTTTATTTATT